GGAGCAGGGAGCCCGATGCGGGGCTCGATCCCAGGACCCTGGGATCATGACCTGAGCCGAAGGCAGACGCTTAACGACTGAGCCACCCAGGCGCCCTGGGAGGCTGAGTTCATTACAGCAGGTGCGAGAACAGTTTCCCAGGGTCCAGAAAGGAAAAGGGATTTAGCTAAGGTCCCCCGAAGTCTGTTAGAGCCAAGTTATGCGGCATAGCACTCCTGTGCAATAGACACCCTCCCCAGCTCCTACCGACATGCGCCATTGGCCACCATCGAGGACCTGGGAAGGCCACCAGCCCGTTATGGTCTTCTTCTTAAAGAGGGAGAAGTGCTTATACTGGAGGAAGTAGGGCCACTTGGAGTCAGTATCCATCATCCTGATGGAGCATAGGTTGGCGTGCCGGGCCGGGAGGGGCATGTCAAACAAATCCAGCTCCAGGACCCCTGAGCCCAAAGAAATGGCGTCAGCAAGAAGGAGCTCCCTGTCCTGTGGTCGTGGGCCCTGTGGCAGATCTCACCTAGGAAGTCATCCGTGGAGAACATGTTATTGTCCCAGATCTGGATGATGAGCCGGGCTGGGAACTTCATCACTGTGGGGTCCAGGCTCCATATGTAGTCCTGGAGGATGACAGAAGACCATATGACTGGCCTGTCTCCTTTGAGATTTCCCTCGGCCACCTTAGTAGCCCACCACCCAGCAGTGATGGACTGTCAAGGAGGAAGCTTTCTCCCTGAGGCCACATTCCAAGGGTTCTGGGGCAGCTTGTGGTTCGAGGAGTGGGAGAGCACAACCACCCCCCACCCCCGCAAGGCCTGTTACCTTCTGGCTCTGGACACACATATGCTCGGCTGCCAGGTAATCCATGGTGAAGACGAACCGCCAGTTGAAGTTGCTCTCCCCAGTGAGTGAGTGGTAGTGGATATCTGTCTTCTGCATGTCTTTCTCGAGCCCGACTAACCACCTGGGGCCAAAGGCCTTTCACCTGGGCTTCATGTGTATGGTCCCCATCCCCGAGCTGGAGCCCTGTGGGAAGGGCTCCCCGGGCAGACCACCAGGCACAGGTAGGGGTGAAGAGATGTCGCCCCAGGATTGGGGGCCGGGGGCACAGGGAGGGTACGACGGGGGAACTCTGAGGGAATGCTGCCGCCCTGCCCTCTTCCTCACCCTTTGACATAGATGTCGCTCATCCCGGCAGTTAAACTTCTCTTCAGGTCCACTTGGGCAGTCTTCCAGATAATGCAGCGCAGCTCATACCTGCAGCCAACGGACTCTGAGGCTTTGCTGAGGAGTTGCTCCCCAGCTGCAGCCGTGGTACAGGAAGAGAGGGCTGGGGGGCTGCCCTGCGTGCCCACACGAGGCATGCCCAATTTGGGGGGATGCAGGGGAAGGAAGGTCCCAGGATTCCCAGGAGAGGGAAAGAATTGCTGCACACTAGCATGTGAGCACACCCATGGCCCGCGCCTGGGGAAGTGCAGTGACGGATGTGGAAGGTCACTCACCTTTTAGGCTTTCTGGGCTTGATGTTGACTGGGGGGCCAGGCGGCCCAAGCTTCTTGGGGAAGATGTCCACCCACATTTGCACCTTTCCCTAGAGTGGAAATGGCCAGTTGGGCGTTGCCAACCTCTGTTCTCAGCATGCTGGCCTGGGAGCCTGGACCCAGGTTCTGAGATCTGTTGAGGGGGGTCCACCCCCCCACCCCCCGCCTCACTGGAGGGTGGGTTAAGGAGGTATCGGTGAGGTGGAGTGCACTTCAGACAGGAAGTCTGGCAACCACCCACCAGCTTCCCTTTTTTCTCGTGTTGGCTGAAGAAGGGTACAGGGTAAGGTGGGCTGTGTGTGATGACTTCAAGACTGATGGCCATGGCGCCGGGATATCACTTGTGACTGGGGTCTGGAGGCTGAATACCCTTTAGCAGGCCATGCTAGACTGCCTCTCTGGACAGGGCTCCACAGTAGGGTTGGAGCTTCATTTCTTAACCAGCTTAGTGGTCCCGAGTAAGAGCGAACTAGGTGACCAGTCCAAATGTCTAGGTTGCTGTATGTTGTGGAAGCCTATCCTAAGGATATTAAGCTGTGCACCAAGTGCAGAGGTCTAAGAAAGGAGGGATGAAAATGGTGAGAAAAAGGAAGACAAAAAAAATAAGAGAAAAAGGAAAAAGAAAAAAAGAAAAAATAAATAAAAGAATAAAAGAGTAGAACTACCAACATTGGAAGATAGACAAATATATTCTCTCAAACCGTCTGACCTCGTTTTATCCTTTTGAAGTTGACCCCATTTAAGAAAACAGGTTTGGGCGCCTGGGTGGCTCAGTTG